TCGTTTGGATTTCTATCACTTGCTGCGCAAATTTGTTTTGATAAAAATCCTTGATAGTCAATATTAATTGTTCGATCTTTGAAGTAATTAATAATCCAAAATAAATAAGAGTAAGGACAATAGAGTTGGTGAAGTTTTAAGATTAGTCCTTGATGCCATAGCATATCAAATGCTTGTAGAAAATCTACATATACAACCACTGAGAATGAATTTTGATTTAGAGATTGAGTTAATTGTTCCATAATATGATTAACTCTTGTTAATGTGCATAGATGAGGTCTAGACCCAAATTGTTGTGGAGGTAAAATGTTGTTCAATTGTAACCATTTGTCGAATTTCAAAAGGAAAAGTTTTTCGTATATTTTACTAAGCGTGGGAAGAAGTGATATTATTCTTGCTCGTTTCCAAGTCTTATCCCAAAAAGTACGCCTAAACATTGAGTTGTACGCCGAGATTATGATTGAGTAATAACATTCAGGTATGAATTTGATCATCTTGTTTGATATTCCATCAAAACATGACGAGTTTGTATTTTTCATCTTTTAAATAATTAACTTCAGATCATAAATATTGAAATTCAAATCAGAATTCTCACATACTAATTCGATGTCATTTTGGTTTGAGTTGGATAATTTATCCCATAAACTCGAAGCTAATACATCAATTGTGTTATTAAAACATAATTTAGGAGTAGTAAATCTATTCGAGAAATAAACATGTAAGATATTCACTATTTCTTCAGGCATTTTATAAATATGATTATTATCTGTAACAGCTGAAAAGGAACATGGTCTCTTTTTATTCAGACATTTGACTGTTTGCCAGAATTTCTTCGGGTTAGGGGATGTAACTTGACCAATGAACTTCATCCAGTTGTTTTGTCTATATGCTTTTAATTCATGTTGAATTAGTTTGTTTCATGAACGTACACGTACTCTATCTTCTTCTAATTTGTTGTGTCTGTATTTATTTTGTAAGTAGTGTTTATGTTTCAATATTGACCTGATTGAGGGAGATAGTGTAGGTCGTTGTTGTTTTGTCAGGTGGAATATTGTTACCCTTTCTTTAACAGCATGAAGAAATTTTTGAAAAAATGTCAAACATTCTGATTTATTATTTGCAAATGTTGTCACGTATTCTTGTTGTATCTATGAACTAATAGTAATTAGAAAAACTCTATATATATTCCAATATGTCTTTGAGATTGCATAATAGCTGTCTTGTAATGTGATTCCATTAAATTCAAAAAAAATATTGGTAAGTGATCACTACCAGTATATGGAAGTGTTTGACATTGAGATAAAGACAAAGTCGATGTTGTTAGGACTAAGTCTATAGTTGTATCTGATCGTAGGGATGTTTTCATACCTTGATTTTGTATTTCATATATATCAATATTATCAAGCCATTCTGCTAGAATCCTTCCTTTATGATTAATCGTGGTACAACCCCAGCTCGTGTGTTTCGCGTTGAGATCACCAACAATTACTATATTTTTAAAATTCTTCCTTAATGATGACATGATTTTTAACGGTAAAGATTCATTTGGTGGTGAATAGATTGAAACTATTGCATATGTTTGATTTTTAATTATAAGTTGAACCGCAACAATATTCAATTCTTCAATTTTTAATTGAATAGCGTTTAATCTTTTATCAATTGCTAATACAACACCACCATGTGGATTAGTACCTTTGTTAGTAAAAATATTGTACGAAAATAGAAGTTGTTTGATAATTTTGTCTGGAACACAAGTACCTAATTCATTTAGTGAAATTATAGTTGGATTGTAGCGTGAAATAATGTCGATCAAGTCGCTTTGGTTCGACAAGAAATGCCTTATGTTGTAATGGAGGATTGACAATGGTGTTACATGTATATCCGGTTTATTGTTTTCTTGTAGCCGCTTATTGACTATTTCTTGTTTATTTGTATTTTTGTTCCATTCAGAAAATGTTGAGAGTCCTAGTTCAACTTGGAATTTCGATAGACCTGAACAAAGTTGTAGAAATTTTTCTTCAACATTTTTTGTTTCAAGATTGATGTTTCTATGATTATTCGCTGTCATTGGAATTTGTAGCAGGTGTGTGTCTTGTTGCTGTTGTAGTTGTCTTTGATAAGTTTTTTGTTTGGTTGTCCGAAGATTTGGTGATGGTTTGATTTATATGATTATTATTTCTTTTTGTTAGTAAGGTTGATACTTCATTTTTATATTTGATTAGGTCTTCACGTGTTGATAAATGAACATTCTTGTATTGCTTTAATTGCTGGTAAAATTGTTTCAAATATAATTGTTTCAAGTTCGTTGGTGACATTTTTAATATTATCTACCTTCTTTTCTACTTCAATAACTTGACTAATTAATCGTTCTTCGAATTGTTGTTGATGATGTGTTGATGCTGACAGTAAAGGCGGAAAAGATTGGTTGTTGTTAAAGTAATGATTATGTTGATCTTGTTCTAGATTTATTAGTAGTTGTGCTCTTTTTTCTTTTTGGTTTTGGTTGATTTGTCTTCTGATTTGTTGCACTTCAGGGCAGGCCGAATGACCAGCATAATGATCTTGACCACAGTTTACACATTTAATTTCGTTTTGACAGCTATTGTTGTACGGATGATCTAATCCACAACGAATACATAGTGGAACAAGGCTAGTACATTCTTTTGTGGTATGGTGATGGCTATAGCATTTCATACATTTGTTGATCTTTGCTGGTGGATGATATTGCTTCACAAAATTTTTCATATGACTAGTTGAAAAATTGTTCAATGACTAACGAATATGTTGAAGGTGATACACGTGGTGTTTTTATATCGAATTCGATGTCATTAATTTTGGTCGGTCAATTTAGTTGATTGAATAATTCTTCAAAACTTGTTTCATCATTGGCGAAGATTAATAGACATTTTTCATGTCCAAATCTACCTGTAATATTTAGTATATAATCATTTTTATTTTTCCATTCTGAGATAAGATGTTCATTTTGTTGTGGTTTCTTGAAAGTTATTGTATAGGGATGAAATCTTGCACTTTGTTTAAAATCAAAGTCGTCACCAGCTTTTCTTTTTCCTCTTATTGAATGATAGTCTGATGGAGTTGTATACATGTCTGTTGACATTTGTATAGAATGCTTATTTATATTATGACTGTTGTTGTTTTGAAAATCTGTTGGTTGATTGCTGGAATTTGTTGTCTGGAGTCTGTTGAAATTTTTCTTTAGAAAGGAGTTTGTATTTTCTTTAGGTGACTCATCGGTCCATACCATTACTTAAGTGCAATGAATAGAGCGGAGAGAAGAAGGAAAGAAGAAAGAGAAGATAAAAGAAAGGTACGCGTTATATAAGTATGAATGTGAGTGTATCAGTGGTGTAAAAACACGTCCGATCACTATCGATGCATACGAGTGAATGACAAACAACCCGTTGCAAGTTATGTCAAACGATATATTTCAAAAAAATTAAAAAATATGTACTCAACCGATTTAGGTAGCTCGTTATTTGTAGAAGACATTTTCTTCTGGGATAATTTTCATAAGCTGGCCAATGATGGAGTGGGACATTTCTTTACGCTGAAATGAGTAAAGAGATTAAAAGTGAAACACTATTCACTACTCCTAACATGGCTAGAGTTTGCCAATCAATAGATCAAGTCTCTCACAGTCGCTTCTAAAGTCTCTTCATGCATAAGGTCGAAATTCTCAAAATTAGCTAAGTCTTAGCGTATGTACGAATTCTAAACATCACCTCTCCCTCTCTCCTTCGCCACCAATCCCTTCCCATCTTCAACGCTCTAGTCTTTCTTGCTTTCTTTCCCTCCTTTTTTAACTTGTCTATCCGCGCCTCTTTGTAACCCCCTTTATTCTTTCTTCTCTAATACATTGTTGTTACTCTACCTATTTTCTATATTCTCTTTTTTGGATTTTTTTTCCGTTAAAGTTCATTAATGCGTTTTATTTCGTTCAAAGTCTTAACATGTTAAAATGCGTTAAAGTTTTGAACGAAAAAAAAATCCAAAAATGTTCGGTTTTTACGATTTTTTTTCGTTAAAATTTCGATGCGTTTTTTTGTGTTTGTCTGACTGGCAAGCTATCGAATTTTCAAATATCACCTTTCATGAGGTCTTGTAGCACCAGGAGCTATGAGAAAAATCAATTTTTCGAAATTTGGCCCGCACTTTTTCATCTAGAGATTTTAATTAGACAAGCTTCCGTAAAAGTTAAGAATTTTTCAACGAAGTCTATCAGAGATATGGAATTTCTAAGAAAAAAAATCTTTTTCATTCGTGTATAGAACTTTTTTTCTTAACTTTTACGGAAGCTTGTCTAATTAAAACCTCTATATATGAAAAAGTGCGGGCCAAAATTCGAAAACTTGATTTTTCTCATACCTCGTGGTGCTACTAGACCTCATGAAAGGAGATATTTGGAAGGTCCGATAGCTTAGTAAAATCTAAATGGAAACTCAAGTGTTTGTAGGGTGTTTATTAAAGTATTATGTAGTATATTCAGTTAAAAGAATGATTGCGATCGCAAGAGACATTTGAAGTAGTTTTCGCGTGAGTCAATAGGTAGAAAAAAATATTCCAAATTTAAAGACTTAATTCGGTGAAAAAATGTATAGATGAGTTCTTAAATATTTTTATAGTTTCATAACAATTTTAAAATAGACAAGATCTCATATGAACTGTTTTGTAGCTAGTAAGTCTACAAATTCTAATTACTTCCTCTAATGTCCTGTTCACCTCAGAAATAAACGGACCAGTAGCGCAAAGTTAAATCAAAGACGAATATGCAACTTTTCAGTTCTTTATTTATCAGCTTTCAATAGTACTTGTATCATCAAGTTAAGAATAAAAAGATCTGAAGCCGAAAAGATAAATATATCTATAGACTAGGATGGGTTCACACTGTAACGTTTTATTGATTTCGTAAATTGAATTTTTCCAGGTTCAGCAAATGAATTATTGAAGTTTGAGCCTATTCAATCTATCTACCTACCTACCTTTCCAAGTATCTATATAAGTATATCTATCTATCTATATACGTATGTTCGATTACAAGATTTTTTTTAATTGTCAACCTGATGATAGCATAAGTACTACCAAAATCTAAGAAAAGCAAAAATCTGATATTCGTCTTTTACTTAATTTTTTGGTTTATTTATAACTCTGTCTATAACTAAGCTTCTTCACTAAGGCAAAAAACTTTACTAGCAAAAGTATTTTAAAGACTACAAGAATTTTATGTACTAATTGCGTGCTGTGTGAAATTAAATAATCATATATAAATGTTTGATACGTTTTTTAAAATGTAAAAGTATTTACTTTTTACAGTGAAAAGACAATTTTTTGTAAAGGGCAAGTATTTCAACAAGATTGACTTCAAGCTTGCTATTTTCCTCAAAAAAAGTTCTTTGTTGAAAAAGTAAAATTCTAACATTTTTACGCGTAACTAAGCTTTTTTTATCGATCTTATGTGACTAGAGAGTTTACCTACCCACACCCTAAAAATTTCAACGAGATCACTAAAATTCAAGACTTACCTACGAAACAGACGAAATAATTAACAGGAATAATGCTTTAATCGAAAGCCAAGCCAATAAAAACACATCATCGATGGTCTAGTGTTGCGACGAAACATATCACCCCGGAGGGGTTTTGAAGGGTGGTAGGTGGTAGGTGAATAAAACAATGCAATTAAAATTAAATAAAAAAAAATAAGAACGACGTACAAGGAAGGACAGAATAAGAATAGTTCGCATATAGCTGAGTGGCTACAGAGCGTGGATGACGCGAAGAGGTTTATTTTTTTCTGTTCTGTACGTTGTTTTTCCATTGAATTTTGTCAAAATGTTTTTGGCTTACGGTCAGAGGTACCCTCTCGAGATCTCAACAGCAATATAGGTAATTGATCACGCTGAATCCGAATATGCTATTTTTATTCGCCTACCACCTACCATCTACCACCCTTCAAAACCCCTCCGGGGTGATATGAATATGAACTTCGACATACTCTAATATGTCTTTTGATGAGATTTCTAAAGATTATCCTTTTGTTTTTTTTCTATTTATTGTTCTGAAGTTGATTTAGAATTTCGTTCAATTGTTTCTGAGAAAAAATGAAACTACCGTTATAGATGGTGCCACTTTTTTTCTTTCGTTTTTTCTCAAAAAAAACTGAGTTAAATCCAATACTAAATTCAGATTATTAAATAGAAAAGCAGAAGAATTGTCTAGTGAAATCACAATCAAATTGAATTGGTTTATATGTAAAAGTGAATTTTTTGTTCGAACTAAGAGTTTGCGGATCCAGGAGAAAAACACTTTTTCAACTTATACATAAACAGATCATTTGAGAGATCCGCTGTAGATTTAAAATATTTTTTTCAGAATGACCGTGAGATAATATCGAAACAATTCAAAACAAGGGTTTTCGATACTTTCTATTATTCTAAATAAATCACAAGAAAACTTTAAATATATATATACATTAAATGTCAGGCAAATCTAATCCATAAAAATTTA